TCTCGCTCTTGTTCAGGCTGGTCTCGAACTCCTGAGCTCAAGCAATCCTCCCGCCACTGCCTCCCAGAGTGCTAAGATTACAGTCATGAGCCACTGCGTCTGGCCTAGTATAAAGCATGAATGTGCTGTAAAAAAAAAAAAAAGTCACACAAACCAGTATGACTTTTGCACTACACAGCATTATCCTCTGTCATTCATACATGAACTAATTTGTGTTACAGAAATACAGGTTGTAGCAGAAGAGATGTATTTTTTTCAATGTATACTTTCTGGTCTTATATAGTGCCTTCCTATTTAACTGATTTTCCTACATAGGAAACCTATAAACAGCATAGCTCTAAGGAAGGGCATTTGGACAAAATAATTTTTAAAGATGTTAATTTAAATGCTTCTCCTGGGTGCTATCTTACTAATTTATTTTCCTCCTTCTCCCCAGCCTCTCTCGATATAGATTGAAATTTAGCGCTGATAAAGTGGACACAATGATTGTGCAGGCAATTTGTAAGTATAGTACATGCAAAGCCTGATCTGTTGCTCTGTTTGTGCTTTTTTCCTACTAGTACAACTGTATCTTTTGTGATTCTATCTGATGAGAAAGAGAAAGGAGATGAGCTAGAACTTTTAGTAAGTAAAGTAGATAAGTTAGAAAATACAAAATAAAAAAGGGGAAAACTACCCATAATTTGACTAGTTAAAGATAATGTGACTCACATAATTAACATTATGTAAACTGATTCATTCATGTTTTTCCACAAAAATGTTAAAAAACCACAAGTGGAATCTGTGTAGTTGTATATTCTGCTTTTTTCAGTTGATTTTATAATAGGTTATTCTACCCATGACATTAAATGATTTTTAGAAACAGCAAAGTCTCAGCATTTTCTAATTTTAAAAATCCCTTCAACCAGCAATTCTATTCCTAGATATATACCCAAAAGAATTAAAAGCAGGGACTTGTCCAGGTGCAGTGGCCTACACCTGTAATCCTAGCACTTTGGGAGGCTGAGGCCAGAAATTCGAGATCAGCCTGGACAATGTAGTGAGATCTGGTCTCTACAAAACAATTTAAAAAATTAACAGGCTGTGGCAGCACCTGGATTCCCAGCTGCTGGGGAGGCCGGGACAAGAGGATCTCGGGAGCCCGGGACTTCAAGGCTGCAGTGAGCTAGGATTGTGACATTGCACTCAAGCCTGGGTGACAGAGCAAGACCCTGTTTCTTAAAAAAACAAAAGAAAACAGGGACTCAGTTCCTTGTACATGCATGTTCATAGTAGCAATAAACAACCCACATATCCATTAATAGATAAATGGATAAACATAGTGTCCTATATACAGGTTGAGCATCCATTATCCAAAGTCCAAACCGCTCTAAAATCAAAAACTTCTTTGGGTGCTGACATGAAGTCACAAGTGGAAAATTTCACACCTGGCCTCGTGTATCAGGTCATAGTCAAAACTTTGTGCACAAAATTATTTAAAATATTGTATAAAATTAACCTTAGGCTATATATGTAAGGTATATATGAATTTTGAATTTCATATGTGGACTTTCGGTTCTGTCTCCAAGATAATGTCGTTATGTGTATATAAATATTTCAAACTCTGAAACACTTCTGCTCCCAAGCATTTTGGGTAACAGATACCCGACCTGTACACACAATGGAATGTCATGCAGCCTTAAAAAGGAATTTAGTTCTAATACATCCTACAATGTGGATAAAACTTGAAAACATGCTGAGTGAAATAAGCCAATCACAAAAGGACAAATACTGCACAATCCCACTTATATAAGGTACCTAGAATAGACAAATTCACAGAGACAGAAAGTAGTATAGTGCTTCTATATATAGTCATAATATTACCAGAGGTTGGGGGAAGGTGAGAATAAGGAGTTGTTGTTTAATGGGTACAGAGTTTTCAGTTTGAAATGGTAAAAATGTCCTGGAAATAGTGGTAATGGTTGCGTAACATTGTGACTGTACTTAATGCCACTGGCTTATACATTTGAAAATGGTTGAAGTGTTAGATTTTATGTTGTGTATGTTTTACCACAGTAAATCCCTTTTTTCCTGTTTTCATTTTAATCTTCCATAGCCTTGTTAGATGACTTGGACAAAGAACTAAACAACTATATTATGCGGTGTCGAGAATGGTATGGCTGGCATTTCCCTGAATTAGGAAAAATTATTTCTGACAATTTGACATATTGCAAGTGTTTACAGAAAGTTGGTGAGTAATTTGTTCATCCTTTAAGGAATCAAAAACAAATTAATTTGATTGTATCCTAAAATGCAAGTTATAGTATTTTTTTCTTTTTTTTTTTTTTTTGAGACAGAGTCTCACTCTCTTGCCTGGGGCGAG